AAGAGAGAGGCAGAGGAAGGAGAGGGAGAAAACCCGCCACCCCAACTGGCTGTGGTCACACCGCAATCATTTCTTCTTTCCGTTGGGAGTTTGGGCAGGCACACACATGCACTGGGGTGTCTGTGAAGTCACCAGGGCTGGGACTCGAACTGTGCAGTAAGCCACATGGGGTCGAGCTCTCTTAATCATGAGGCCAGGGAGCCCACTCGCCTCTATGTTTTTTCCCTTCTGTGAGAAAGACAGAAACAGAGAGAGGAGACAGAAACAGATGGACCCAGCAGAGCCTCCAGGTGTGACGTATGCCCTGCTGTCAGCCAGATCGTGGGCACGTGCATAGTCATGGCATTTAGGAAAGGCTCCCCCAAACATCACTCAGGGCCCTTCCAGTGTGGGCACAGCTGCATTATGGCTGTGCCCTGTCTAGCCCCTTATTTCCCCTCTTTTTTATTTTTTACTTTTTTAGGGGTTTGTCATAGGCCATGAGTGCTCGCTGAAGAGACAGAGAGGGGAAGTGAGAAACCTGTCTCTAGTGGGAATGGCTACGCCACAATCCCTTCTCCTCCATTCTCCTCTCTGGATTTGGGGCATGCACACACACACACTTGGCGTGATTTTCAAGCTACTGGATCTAGGACTCGAACCACGGTGGGCCATGTGGGAGTCCAGAACCTTAATGACCATGCCATCTGCTGGGCCCCTTTTTCCCTCTTTTAAGGCGATGTTGGTTCAACTTTCTAGGCAAGCCTTCCAAAGATAATCAGTATGGGGGGGTCTTTTAAAGTTCTGGGAAATGACTTAAAGTATGAGTCTGTTTTGGTACAAAAATTGGAAATTCACGCAATTTGGGTTTTTTTTTTTTTTTTTGGAGAGGTTTTTGCTATAGGGCGTGTGCTCTTGCCAGAAAGACAGAGAGAGACAGAGAGACAGAAAGCAAGAAATCACCCCCCAGAGGGGATGGCCACGCCGCAATTCCTTCTCCTCCATTCTCCTCTCAGGATCTTAGGTGTACACGCACACGCGCCCGGCATGAGTTTAAGCCACCGGGTCCAGGACTTGAACTGCAGTCAACTACATGGGAGTCCAGCGACATAGCCATTACACCAACTGCTGGTCTCTTGGTGTGTTTTTTAAGCTCCTGGGTGAGGGATTCAACAATGCAGTCACCCCTGCAGAACCCAGCACCTTACCCACCACACCACCTGGTTGACCCCACTTTTTTTTTTTAATTTGGTCAGAGAGTACATGTGGTCGGTCACCAGAGAGGGACAGAGAGGGAGGGAAAGTGAGAAAGAACCCGCTATGCAGAAATGGTCACGCTTCCGGTCTTCTCCATCGCTCCCTCCTGTTGCGATTTTGGGCATGTACACACAAGTGCTTGGCTGTTTCTCAAGGTCCCAGGCGTGGGGGCACTACAGCCACGCAGTCAGCCATGTGGACCCAGCCTGCACCACCACGCCACCAGCTGGCCTCATAGTGCACATTCCCACGAACTTTCTGAGGACTTTGGCACATGTACGCGTGTGAATGTAGTCTTCAAAACAACTCGATACAAATAAGAGCCTGCGTTCTGTGCCTGGCTTTTTCCCTTAATAACATATTTTAGAGATGGCTTCATGTCAGTCCATAACTGCACTCTTTATTGGCTGTAGTGTCTTGAACAGATGTTCCTCCACTCACTTGACTATCACGTTGTTGGACTTTAAGGTTTCTGGCCTTTTTTGTTCGTTAGGAACAGTGCTGTAATGACAGCCCTTCTTCCTGCTTCTCTGTGCCCAGGTCAGGTACAACGAAGAGTGGAGGCTCAGAGTCAGAGTCTAGGGACAGCGTTAACAGACGCGTCAGATGCCCCCGGAGAAGTTGTTCCCATCACATCTCCACCAAAGTGCATGTGGAGGCCCAACCGCACGGCACGGTCTAGCACATGAGCACAGTGCTGGCAGTTCCACGGCCGGCTGGCTGTGAGTTCAAATCCCCGAGTTGGCCTGAAAACATGCGGGGCAGGTGCAGGTCCTGGAGGGTTGGGGAGAGAGGGCCAGGGCGTGACGGAACCCTGTCGAAGGCGCTTTCTCTCAGCCTCTCTTTCTCTCTGATGCGTGCACACACCACCGTGACAATAAGTATATGCAGATATCACAGAGTCTTCAAGTCACAGTTTTAAACAGTTATTGCAAATCTTAGGCTAGCCAGTGGCATAGTAGTTAAGGCAGCTAGTCCTCACATGGCTGACTGTACAGTTTAAGTCCCGGACCTGGCAGTTTAAAAAAACACAAAAATCCTATGAGGAGAAGGTATTCCAGTGTGACCATCCCTCCTGGGAGTGTTTTCTCATTTTCTCTCTTTTTCTTCTTATAACAAACAAAAAAGGAGAGAGGGGAAAAATTATTACACATGTGGTATGTAATTATTGGAAAACGGTTAGAGATAATAGAATAGCATACAAAGGAAAACTAAACCCCGCTGTGGTTGTGCTACCCAGAGGTAACCGTGTTATAGTGTGTTTGCTGTGTGTACATCCGAGTTTTCAACACACAAATACTCGTGCAGGCATAGTAGTCAAAGTACGAACATATTACACACATTTTAAAACTCATTTTTCTCTTTATACTTCGAACTATTTAAAAAGAATTATTTTATTTCATTTTATTTATTTAATTTGACCAGAGAAGGACAGAGTGAGAGAGAGAGAGAGAGAGAAAGTGAGAAAGCAAGCCTCCAGGTTGAGGACTCTTAATTGTGGTCGCCCATATGGGAGTCCAGCGCCCTTAACCACCACACCACCTGTTGGCCCCCCATATATGGGAGTCCAGCGCCCTTAACCACCACACCACCTGTTGGCCCCCCATATTTTGAAATTTTGACCTCACCATTAATTATTCCACTACTCTAATATTATGACACATGGATTTGAGATAATTTATCTGATAGGTAGTTTTTAATAATAATCCCTTGTTTTGGTGCAGATGAAAATCTGTTTTGTGGGGTTTTTTTTTGGAGAAGTTTTTGCTATAGGGCATGTGTGCTCGCCAGAGAGAAAGACAGAGAGAGACAGAGAGACAGAAAGCGAGAAATCACCCCCCAGGGGGGATGGCCACGCCGCAATCCCTTCTCCTCCATTCTCCTCTCAGGATCCTGGGCACACACACACACGCGCCTGGTGTGAGTTTTAAGTCACCGGGTCCGGGACGCGAACAACAGTTGACTACATGGGAGTCCAGCGACGTAGCCATTACACCAACTGCTGGTCCCTGTTTTGTGTTATTTTAAATTGCCGGAGGGTGTGTGTACTCGCCAGAGATAGTGACAGAGGGAAGGGGAAAGCACTCCCCCAACGGAACATGGTCACCCTGCAATCCCTCCTCCATTTCTCCATCCCATCAGGATTGTGGGCACTCACACTCAGTGGTTTTTCAAGCTGCTGGGGCTGGGATTTGAACTGCATGGTTAGCCATCTGGAATCTAGCTCCCTTAACCAGTAGGCCATGGAGTAGCCAGTTCCAAAATAAGCTCTTTATTCCCATTTTTTGTCATGGCTTTTTCCTTTTCTTTCTTTCTTTTTTTTTGGCAGAAGTTTTTGCCTTAGGGCATGTGTGCTCACCAGAGAGAGAGACAGAGACAGCGAGAGGGAAAGTGAGAGCGAAAGTGAGAAATCACAGTGCGAGTCCTTCTCCTCTATTCTCCTCCCAGGATCTTGGGCACGCACGTACACGCACCTGGTGTGAGTTTCAAGCCACCGGGTCCAGAACTTGATCT